CTTCCTCGGCAGCCTCAGCACGCGGGATAACATCTTCGCCGTCTTTCTCACAAGTTGAGAAAAATCTCCTTTTGGCTCATTTTACTTTTTGCAACAGCGGCTCGTTTGCATAGCTTCGTCGTTCCTACGACCTTACTTCTTTGCATCTTCTCGGCAATCTTGTTTCGATTTCTTGGCGTCGAGACCGATACCCAGGTTTTTTGGCAATATATTTTTCTCTTTGCTTGGCATCGCCAATATATATATATACAGTTTTCGTTTTAAATCTACGTTAAGGACATACATTACTTGCCTCGCTAAGAGCGATTCAAACGAAATGGGAGTCACCTTGTCTCGATGAAAAAATGTGGAATTGTCTTAATTGCTCTGTGACATGTACACACAAGTCCTCCCCATCACCAAATGTTAAGCGACCCTTGTTTTGTATTATGGCCTATGCTATTGCTATGCAGTCCTCTTAAACTGAAGCGTCTGCGTGCTTGAAAACGCCCCGCCCCTTTTCTCCTCTTGAATTATTAAAACGGTACAAAGGAAATGATCCCTTCCTCCAGAGGGAGAGACACTTTTTTTTCGTATTTTCTTGTTCTTTTTTCCGGCTCTCATACCCTAACAGTAGCCGTAACCGTTTCTGTCTCCGTCTGAGTCTCAGTCTCCTTCACAGTGACAGTCACAAACACCGTCGTGGGAGTGACGTCGACTTCTTGCGCACCAGCCGCCTCGGGGTGCAGGAAATTAAAATCGATGGGGATGCTAACCGGGATATCGATGACGTCGAGGACGCCCGTAGGGGTCGGCAGGAGGGGAGCTTCCGTCGTCGGCGTAGAGTCGTCGATAGGCTCGGGCTCAACCACGGGAGGCTCAACCACGGGATCGCTCGTGGGAACCGGCTCGCGCTGAACAGACGAAACAGGCTCAGGCTCCGGAGCCACCGTAGGACTGACGACAGGAGTCTCTTCAGCGGGTTCGTCGGCAGAGGACGAAGGGGGCTGGAGGATATCGGAGAAGAACGAGGAGAACTCGAGACCCTCAGTAGGAATGACCGGTGTCGTGACGACCGGGGCGGTGACAACGGAAGTCACGGTAATTGTAGGTTGAACGGTGACCGAAATGGTGACTTCTTCAACAGGTTGCTCCTCTCCGGGCGTTGTGGGATCGGGGCCTCCCTCGTTAGGAGGCAGGCCCAAGATGCCACGAGCGACAGCCCCGTCGTAGCAGCCGACAATGGCGCCTTCGGTGGTGTTCATAGGCAGAGCGAAGCACTTGGTGCCGGTTTCACAGGTAACGATGTCGAAAGAACCGCTCTCGCTGCAGACTCCGATGTTGCCACCGATGCAGGCAATCTGGTTAGCGGAGCAGGAAGAATCGGGTTTGATGCCGCTGAAGACCTCGTTGAGATTCTGAGCAATCTTCAAGTTGTCCGCCAATGTCTCCGGAGATACGACGGCCGTAGCAGTGGGAAGCACAGTCTCCATGGTCGGAACCTCTCGGTTGACAGTACCGGTTGGGATGATGGAGGTGGAGGTCTCTGATCCCGAAGCCGCTTCCGTAGCCGTGACATCTCCAGTGGAAGTAGCTTTCTCCGCAGAGGTCAAGGTTGTCGATACCGAAGGTGTTTCTGAAGCTGCAGCATCTCCAGTGGATGAAGCCTCCTCCACAGAGGTTGCCTCAGAGGTCGCAGATCCGGAACCCGTTTCCGTAGCAGTGGCATCTCCAGTAGCAGTAGCTTTCTCCGCGGAGGTTGGCTCAAAGACGCCCTCCGAGGAGGACAGCTCTACGCTAGTGGGAAAGGCTCCAACCGGTGCATCCAGGTCAGAAGTCGAGCTAGCGGATTCTGCCGTCGTCGAAAGACCTTCGCTGGTTTCCGCGGTTGTTGCAGAACTAGCAGCATCCGAGGCGGTAGCAGTTTCCTCTGTAGACGAGCTAGCAGCATCAGAGGTGGTAATGGGTTCCTCGGGAGCCGAGCCAGGCAATCCAGTGGAGGTCGTGCTAGGGATATCACCATTTGCGGACCCAGTCTCCTCAGGCAGCGAGGTAGTCTCGGTCTCTTCCGGAAGAGAAGTAGTGGACGAGACCCTTGCGGAATCAGTGCCAGTTTCCGTTTCCGCGGCTCCAGAGCTTGCCTCGGTAGCAGATACATCCTCCCTCGCAGTTTGAGTAAACTGCACGTCTTGGGCGGGAGACTCAGTCGCGGAAGATTCATCGGCCGAAGGTGCACTGCTGGTTTCGGGGGCAGGCTCGCTTGATGACACGACCTCCTCAGCAGAAGTGGGAGCAGAAGTGGGCAGGGGCTCAGTAAGTGTGTCAGTCGGCTTTACCGAAGCGGTAATCTCGGCCTCCGTACTTGTCTCGCGAGAGGGCTCGTCCGTCTGAATCGGCGCAGCATCGCTCGAACTGATTTGGGGGTCGGCAGACGGCTCCTCTGTGGGGACTGTTGTAGTGTCAGGCGACAGGGTAATTATGATCGGACTTGGCGTCTCGTCGGGGAACCTATCACCAATGTTAATGGGAAGATCTGGGGACTCCACGTGAATAAGAGAGACTAACTCTTGAGGATCAGAGATGATCGGGCCATCCTCAAGGGCAGTGCTGGGGTCTGCTTGACCATTGCCATTACCGCCACGAAGGCCCTCGACGTCAGTAGCCGAAGCAGCGCTCGATTCAACTCTGCGGACTCTAGAGCGAGCGTTAGAATGAAATTCGAATTTGAGTAAGAGAGCAGAAAATTGGGTGTCCCACCTTCTTCCCGGCCAAAGAGGTCCAGCCTCCACGGCTTGTGAGAGAGCCAAAAGGCCCAAAATCGAAGCGGATACGTTGATACGCATATTGTGCAAAGATGGTTTGTTTCGTTTCTCTCAGAGATAGCGGAAGGGTAGTGTCTCGAACGAGAAGAAGATTGATTGGATTCCCTCGAGAGAACTTAGATGAGATGGGGAAACAGTAGAACTCGAAGAAACTTTTGAGTAGGAGAAGAACAAAGCTTTTGTTGGGTAGACTAGCTCTTCTAGGAACAATTGAAAAATAAGTAAGAGGTGAGAGAGATAAGTTGTAGAAAGAATAATGTTCTCTTGTGCTCTCAATGAAAAGAATGAATGATGGTGAGAATAAACAGAGCTGCTGGAAACAACTTGAGTCGCAAGGTTGAGTCAAATACCAGCTGAGACGGAACCTGCGATGAAATGATGGTCGGTCACAGAGTCACAGAGCAAACTTGTACGTTCCGCTTGGTTCTAGGAAGATATGAACGAAGCTTGCTGTTCTCACAAAGTGTGGTGACCGAGAAGGAATAAGGCAATTTGAAGGCGAAGAGATTATAAGCAGAACCACAAAAGAGAAAGCAGAAGAAAAGAAGAAAAAAAGCTTGTGGCTACAGAAAGAGTACTAGGCAGAAATGAATGCAAGACTAGTAGAGAAAAGACAAGAGGAAAGGTAGAAAAAGAGAGAATCTCCTTCTGTCAGTTGACATATGGCAGTACTATCTGGATAGCAAGAGAGTGGACACGAGAGCAGAACTCGAGGAGACAGACGGAGGTCTTTGTATGAAGCCGAGCCGCAGCCTTCTTTTCCATAGGTCCAGGATCCATCGAGACCATGCAGGCCAGTCCCTGCCTTATTTCACGAACTCGGTGGTGCTCGAGTGGGCGCCAGAGCTGGGTGGAACGACACGCGTTGACTAGTAACGAGCTGGTCGTCTCACCTTGCGGGCCTTTGGTCTTCGCACCTTGACAGCCAGCGGTAGGAATCTGTATCCCCAGCCCACATCGGCCCAGATCGGACACCAGTACGATGACTCCATGCCGCTGTTGCCAATGTTAGCTTTGCACATGGTTCAGAGGTCAAGCAAGTATTGATTGGGGGAAGCAGATCCGGACGGCGACCGGGATGCGGGCCAGACAACTCGCGTCAAATACCAGCACGAGGCGAGATTTAAGGAGCAGTTTGGGGTCCCGAAACAATGTGATCATTGACGGTGATGGGGCAGAAAGCGTCCGAAACGACCTTGGACAGCGCGTAGTGCATATTGCGAGCAAAAGGGACCCCAGGACTCGTGTCCTGCTACAGGTCGAGAGTGGACGAGGGATAAATTGGCTCGTTCCCGATTAAGCGCCTCTTGTCTGAGGTCGCCATGGCCGAAGCCGTTTTCTTTGGGCCCTGCATGGTCTTTCTTCGATCGTCCCTGCGTTTTGTCTTGCGTCGTTGGGCTTGTCGGAGTTTCCAAATTTAGCGGGTTCGTAGGCGCCAGAGCTTCCCATTGGCTATGGGGTGTTGGGCATGTTGTGTGGCAGGAGCTACGGGAGTACGGGGAGTGTCAGGGGGCGTGCGGGTTGCGAAACTTTGCTGCTGGCCAATCACTGGGCCGCTGATCCATTGCGTTGTACTTCGTACTCCTGTATCTTTTCGGACCCTGGTGGGGGCAGGCGTGAGCTGACCGCTGTCGACCAATCGACTGCTTCAAGAGTTCGGGTGGAAAGGGCGAGCCCCAAACCCACATCCAGAGAGGAAGGGACAATTGAGGATTGCCTCAATAGTTGAACCGTTTATTCTTGTTCACCTTGGCAAGAGTCAAATACCGAAATGGTTGGACGAGAACTCCCCGTGACCGGTTACAGCTCTTGATAGCATTTAATGAAACAATGCTAGCTCTACCAAACAAAGCACTTGTCCAGTGTTGATTGTTCGACAGACTATTGTTAGAGAGAACAATGGCAATCATCGTTCGGCCCATCATCGGCCTCGTATTGCTCTCCACTTGGGAGAGTAGCGCAGCCCAATCAAAAATATTCAAAGATCCGAAGGTCTTCCAAGTCTATGCTTTATTCCCCAGAAAGAATTATGCTATGCTATGCTTTGCAGTCCCAATGCCATCCCATCATCAATCGGTGGCCTACAAAGCCGACCCCAATCCCACCCAGTAAAACCACAGAAACTTCACAGACCGAAATTCATCACAAGAGGGCCGAAAAATATGTACAAGGTCAGCCCCCAGCGTCCCTTTCGCCATCTCAACGTCGCCGCCTAAACCTACTATTATGACCCGGCCCACCCTTCGCCCCATAGTTCCTAAGCTTCAACCGCTTGAAATTGGCGTGCGCCAATTCGTTCACCTTGCGGGCCACCTTGCGCACCTTCCCTTCCTCTTTGTCTTTCGCTTTGGCCTCTTTGGCGGCCTCGGCATGATCCTCCTCTAGAGCCTTGGCAGTCCGTTTCCGGCCCGCCCTGATGGCCTTTACTAAGTTGTCGACCCCGGAAGCCTCGTTGGCTTCGGGGGCAGGATCGGGGGCGAACTCGGAACCCCCATCTGAGATATCTTCTAACTCGTCGGGTACAGCAGTGGGGTCGAACTGCGTCTCAGGCACCGCGGCATCCTCCTCATCCGTAACCTCATCCTCGTGATAAACGGTCTCCTCGGCGGGCCTCCTAATAAAAGTCGGTCGCATAATCGCCCTCCTCGTAGTCCGCTTGGCCCCCTTCTTCTTGTAATCCTTGATCGGAAGTCCTCGATCTGTCTGCTCTTCAACGGGGCTGTCATACTCCGCTTCATCGTCAAATCCACCCAGAAGCTTCTTCGTCTTCTTGCCCGCTTGGCTATCCGGGACAACAGGGTCAGATGCTGGCTTCGTAGGCTTGGCGAATAATATCTCTCTCGGCGCAAAAGTCTCCGCCTCGAGCTCCCGCATCGCCGCCTCGTCGTCCTCGAACTGAGACTCTTCGACCTTGCGTAGGTTCGCCACGATGGCGCTGAGGCCCCGCGCGAATGGTTTCCGCGATATCCTCCTCAACTTCTTCGGCGACTCGTACTCCTCCGTCTCTTCCACCACAGGCAACGTCTTCCTTCGTAAAAAGGATGGCGTGCCGAACTGGAGTTTAGATACCGATTGCGGCGTCGTCTGGGCAGCTCTGGCATTGCCGTCGGTGGCCTTCAGCGGCGTGACGAGTAGGTCTAAGTACTGTCTCCTCGACGACGACGTGGGTGTCCTTCCCAGCTTAAAGTCTTCGATTTCGTTGGCCCTGCTTGGCGTTTCTAATAACATGGTACGGTTCTCTTCGTTATCTTTCTTCGAGGGCGTGACGGCCCCATTGTCTAGAAAAGCGAACAACCCCAGGACCTTTCCATCTCTATGCGGCGTAGGTCCGATCGATGTGGGCGCCACCGGACTAGGTGCGAATCTGTCGTGCGATGGAGTACTCGCCACTGGGGGAACATCTTCCTTTTGGCGCGTGTCGGTGAGGTTGACATACTTTGATCGTTTTACGGGTGTTTGCGCGGGTTCGGGGGCAGATTTTCGTTTCGTGGAGGTCGATTCGTCCTTGGCCTTTCCCGAGAGGATGTCGCGTAGCTTGTTATATTCTTTGTACTTTTTGGCTAAAACAAGGATGTTAGAGGGCGGACTAAAGCTTGTCGAGGTTTAAGAAAGTAGGTAAAGGGGTGGTGTATACCGATATCTGGATTTGCCTTGATAGCATCGCGTGACGGCTTAGATCCGCCGTGGGAGGCACTCCATTGATGCTCCCATTCCTTGAGAGAAGCACGTAGGGATTGACACTGGCTCTCCAAAGCCGCTTTCCGAGCAGCGTCCATCACGAGAGCTGAGATAGAGAGAGTTCAATGCGAGGTGGGGGAAAAGTTCACACAAGATCAAGGTCTAGAGTCATATACCAAAAAAGCGGAGGGTTCCTCGTCTCGTCTAGCAATCTAATTTTTCTAGAGTCTAGGAAGTCGTCGAGTGCTTAAGGTTGAAGGTGGAGTCGACGTTGGTGAGATACGACAATGGGAAATAGTTTCAATTATTTGAGTGACGCGGGAAAGTTTAACGCGTTCAACGTGCCGCGAGGTGGGGCAAATCGATAATCAACGCAAGCATTTAATTGTAATCAGTGGGCACGAGACACTGTAATCGAGACTTCGCACTGCGGCGAATAGCGGACATATTTACCATTAAAGGACAGTGCGGATTGTTAAGACCCACTAAAATCAATTAATGCGGTCCCCAGTCCAGGCCGGGGTTCACTAATTAGTCCGTATCTGGTCACTGGTCACCAGCGCTCTCAGACAGGAATTTAGTGGCGTCATAGGTCTGGGGCATCGTTTCACACTGAAACTTCCCCAGTCACCAACATTAATCGCTTCCTAAGATGATGGAGATTGAAGCTTCAAGTTGCTCGTCTCGCCACCAGCCAGCAATAATCTAAACCCCAACAACCCAACGACCATGCCTCAGCGGCCAACCCCTCAACCCTGGTATGGCGTTAGTATGCGATATTTGACTGCGCTGGAATCGATATGAATCCTGCTCGATGTCGGGGAACACTTGAATCTCTCTCACTTCCTCAAGTATTTGTTGCTAGTCTATAGTCCAGCGGGTCTTTTCTATGATTCTTCACTGCCTCTCTCCAACATCATCCAGCCATATAATACACTAGCCAGAGCGCTTCCTTATCCTTTCGCAAACCTCAGCCTCGAACAGGCATTCCGCCCAAGATGACCCGTCCGCCCGCAAAGGAAGACTGCGTCATCTGCTTCGACGCCCTCCCCTCCTTTCCCGCCGAAGCCGACCCATGCGGGCACCGAACATATCACAGCCACTGCCTCCTTCAATGGCTCGAACTCAACCCGACCTGTCCGCTCTGCAAAGCCGCCGTGCACCACGTGCGCTACGGACCCGAACGCCTCACCATCCACGCGACGCAACCCAAACCACAAGAGCCCGACCGTCCCTCCCCATCATCACAAGAAAGCACCACACCTTCTCCTACAACACGCTCTCTCCGCCGTCGCCGCCGCCACCACCCTAACACCTACATTTCAGCCAACTCCCGCTCCCTCAACGCCTTCCCGGCCCACCGCCTCAACGTCTACCGCCACGGCCTCTTCTCCCTTCACATCGGCTCCAACAAACACTCCCGCTACTCCACCACCATAACCCCCCAGGCCCTAATCCACGACCCCGAGCTCCAATCCCGCGCGCGGGCCTTCATCCGCCGCGAGCTCCTCGTCCTCGACGCCCTCGAACCCAACCGCGACGTGCGCGCACACCGCACACGAGCCTACAAACTCGAGTACATCATGTGCGTGCTGAGGACGGCAGAGATGCAGAGCGCGTCGGGAGTCGCAGAGACGCTTGTTAGGAGGCAGTTGGGGGAGCATACGGGATTGTTTTTGCATGAGTTGAGGGCGTTTTTGAGGAGTCCATATCGGCGGCTGGAGGAGTGGGATGGGGTTGTGCAGTATGGGCCGCCGACGAGGGAGGGTGTACTAACGGCTGAGGGTTGAGTGATCTAGGGCTTTTTGGGAGTTATCAGAGAATCTTCTTGGAGTTTGGGCGGACTTATAGATGGGATTTACCTCTTTTTCTTTAGATACCATGGGATATGGCGTCCTCTAGAACATTTTTTGATAGACAGATACCTATCATGAGTTCCAACATCAACATAAACATAAGCTTCATCGGGTCTCTTTTCTACTTCTCACATATTCATCAACCCGCCCAAATCCCTCTCCATAGCCCTCAACCTCTCCTGCAACTCTCTCTTCCTCCCCTCCAGCTCCCTCACCTCCTCCTCCTCCCCCCTCAGCCCCTCCTCCGTCCAAACGTCCTCCTCCTCCTCTTCCTCCTCCTCCTCCTCCCCCTCCCTCCAATCCTTACTCATCGCCTCCAAAGCCTCCCCCTGCTCCCTCACCCTCCCCTCATAATACTCCATCGTCCCCCTCAAATCCGCCTCTCGCCCCCTCAACTCCGCAATCCGTCTCCTCGCCCCCGGCAACTCATAAACCCCACACAACGTCTCGGCCCCGCGCAGCAACACCTCGATGTCGACGTCGTCCCGCGAGGAAGAGGAGAGTTCGGCGCGCCGGAGGCGCTCGTGCATGGGGGCGCCGAGGACGGCTGCTACGGCTGTGTTGCGGCGGGCGGAGGCGCGGGTGGGGGGCCCGCCGGTTGTTACTTCGCCGGAGGAGACGTTGAAGACTGTTTGGCGGCGGGAGGAGCGTGTGGAGGTCTCTTCGGGAGCTGGTTTGGTGGGTGGTGGTGGCGGGGGTGGGACGGAGAAGAGGGCGCGTTCGTGGGGTTCTGTGTCGCGGAGGAGGGTGGTGATGTCGTGGCTGGAGAGGAGTGCGTTGGTGAAGATTTTGGGAGGCGGGAAGCTTTGATGGGGTGTTAGCTCTTCTTTGTTCGCTGTGTGGGAAAAGGGGAAGGGGGTTTTCTTGCGGGGTTTGATTTTGGAGGGGAGGTACGTACGGGAGGGAATCTATCCCTTCGCATGAGTATGCGATTTGTTCTAGATGTGCCGAGAGGAGCGACATGGTTGCGGAGGGTGGAGGGATTGCGAGAAAGGGAATGTTGTCCGTGGTCGGAGTTGTGATGGATGCGCAACCAGCGCGTTCGAGCCACTTGCACCAAACCAAGGTGGAGCTATTTTCTGGGTATACTCTCAACTTTCCAAGTTAAAATTGACCACCTGAATGTAGTCTAGAAATCCTTAGATCAGGAAAAGAGGCAATTGCTTGAACAATTCCTTTTAGTTCGATGTGGTCTTGGTCGAGGTCCAGGTCAAAGTGTGGTGTTTGTTAAGAAACCCCACCAAAGCTCGTAAACAATGACTTCGGAGCTTGTGCCTCAACGACATCATTAATCGTTGGTAGCCGGCCACCTGCCGCGACGTTGTTGACAGCTGTAACCCCACTCTCAGTGCTTAGCGGAAGCGCGCTGCAACTGAACTGCGGGCCAGGCCAGCGGGGAGCTCGCTACAATTGTAGCCAGCCTCAGAACGCAGTCCCTTACAGAAAAGAGCCTGAACGAGACACTTTGTCCACGTCCACTACAACTTTGGGTGGACACTTTATACGTAAAGTCCATGTGCCGATTTTGATGTGTCCAATTTCTTCTCCTTTTGGGGAAATCGCGGATGGGAACCTAGCGTCGTTGGGAACCTAGAGAAATCCTTGCTGAACCCTACATACTTGACGAGGCTTATTGGGCGCACACGATTGAAGCGCTGTTCGATAAGGCAATGTTTCTACTGTACTGTTCAGGGCTATTCATCTAAAGGGAGGAGGAAGAAACGAAAGGAATTGGGGTTAATGGCGAATCAATGCTGTGGATTATGAACAGGTGGGTTGAGTCTTTGACATGTTCGCTTGAGTTGAGATGAAGGACGCGGGGTTGGGGACGGAGGGTGATGAGGCTGCAACCCTGATTGGGGAAGGGCTACTATCACGTGCGACTCGATGGGCTTTAGAAACCGGAAGCGCTGTTGATGGATGAAGATGTCCTTTCTCAGATTCGGGGAGGAGCTGAAGACTATCTACGGATTTGCGATCAGGGCCAGATGGCAACCCGCGAATTGTCACGACGAGACAAGATTGCGCTCCACGTATGTCTGGTGATAAGAGAGCGTCTCTCTCCGTTGGAGCCAAGTTTGCGCCTTGCAGTCGAGGAGAAGTCGTTCTCCATTAGAGATATCTACGATATCTCCTCTTCATCATAAAGGTTGCAACGGCACTTGCAGATTACTAGCTGCCATGGGGACCCCCTTCTCCCAAGCTCAGCCAACGGGAAATGAACCCAGAGTCGTCCCTACAACTGACGGTCAGAGTTAGTTCTATCAACGTTAAATGTCTGTGATGAGGAAGTGTTTGTAGCTAAGAATATTTCCTAGCAACCGACTCTCGCGTCGCTGGTACCAAGGAGGGCGTGGCATCGTCAATTAGCAGCAAAGTTGAATCATCGACTGACACGGATGACTTGACGAGTGAACAGCATGATAACTCAATAGAAGAGGAAATTCGCCGCGTCTGGATTTTGAACCTCTCCATGAGGTTCAGGAACGATTCAAACAGGGAGAAATTTTTCGTTACTTACATACAGTCTCCTTCACATTGGAGGAGAGTCACAGTCTTTCTCGACTATCGAAATGTCCCAGACACGTCTTTGGAAGCAGACATCTCAAGGGCCAAGCTACAAAGCGACAAGTCGGCCTTGATCTACAAAGGTATTCGAGAAAGCCTGCAAACCATACGGTTCTACAATACCGTCACAAACCTGAGATTGCAAACTGTGGAGGGAACGCTCCATGTTCACGTAGCCGAAGACTCCAATGTGAGAACATTCTTTCAGTTATCCTCCAACCATCGCTTGGCATGCTAACGTCTTTAGGAAATCATTGACTATCCTAGTCTTGACAATTTCCAGGATCTTCCATGTCGGCACGTCCCGGAAGACGCCATCGAGTTTGATTCTCACATCTCCGGCTTTGTCTACCAGGTCAAGGTGGACGGCCAAGTCCTGGCCAGAAAAGACATATCAGGCCCCGATCACGTAAGGCAATTTGTGAAAGAAATAAGAGCCTTGGGCGACCTTCGCAACTCCCGATTTATCATCCATCTCGATGGAGTGGTCTTGAGCCAGGATGGAAAACGAGTCAAGGGGTTTCTAATGCCACTTTGTGAGGGCGGTACTCTCGATGATGTGATATATGACAACGCGGGTAGCCTCCCATGGTCGCAACGGTTGAAATGGGGTTATCAGATTGTCAATGCTCTTTTGCAAATTCACGAGACTGGCATTGTCCACGGCAACCTAAACTTGTCAAAAATTGCATTGGACGACAATGACGATATCAACATCTTCGGATTCGGCAGCTTGGAGATAGACACGGGCTGGGAGCCTCCTGAAACTGAACAGTTCATCCAACATGGAGGCGGTTTGCGCATGTATCAGAGTCCCAAATCTGATATATATCAGTTAGGAATGGTTCTGTGGGCCCTTGCGAGCCAGGTATATGATCCGGAATCATCGGCCAAGCCACTCCAGCTGACGGAGGAAATGGAAACCTCGGAATGGTACAAGTTCATTGTCGAACTGTGTCTTTCTCCGAATCCTCGACTGCGGCCGTATGCCACCACTTTGCTTCTTTTGTGGAAGCGTTCAGAATTATCGGACTCCTTAAGTGGCCGAATGCCGGGGGCAGGATCTACAGCATTCGGCAGCTCCCCCAGTTCAATGCTCGGTGACAGTAACGATGACGATCTTTTCGACACGTCTAGCATTAAGTCCATCGACACCTCCGTTTCAGCCAATTCGACGAACTCTGCCATCGTCAAAGACGCGACGGATAGCTTCGTGGATCTCCTCGACGAATCTATGAACCTTACTAGCGTCGTCCAGAAAGCTCTCGAGCAGAAGAAATTAGACCCCAATGCACTCAGGAACGGCGTCCGTCGGCTGCTCAAGCTTTTCTCGAGAGACCTATCCTCGGAGCTTCCCTCACCCGAGTATCGAGATGCCTGTAACTTCTTCATGTCGTCCTCGCGGCAAATATCATATGAGATTGCAGCCCGTGCTGGGATAAAGATGCCTTCCGATGTGGAGAAAATCTCGCCCAAGGAGATTGAAACGGGTACTTCAAGGACTTCTCGCGAAAGGAACAAAATCATCCAAGTTTTCGACGATGAATCAGACGCCGAAGAAGAAGAGGGTCCCGTTTCGGAAGATGACGCTGGCGTTCATCCCCGGATTTCCGTCCTTCGTGAAGTCATTGCATTAAGTGAGGCCTTTCAGCTATTCATGTCCAACGTCTACACATTGATCCATCCTAGTTTTGAATCTCGCCTTAAACGTGTAAGCCAGGTCGTGGCCGAGAAAGGTGCGGAGATCGATCCGGATGGATCACTCGCAGAAATCGTCGCGGAGCTGCTCTATTCCCAACCGTCAACCATTACCCTCTCTGATATGAATTCGATGTCGTGGATAGATGCGGGTAAATGCTGGGTCGAGAATTACACACAGCAAAACTGGGAATGGTGGCCGCTGATGCCAACCCAGGCGAGAGTTCCCACTGGTAAGGCCAAGCTTCTCTGGCGATGTGTAAGTCTTCAACGTACGAGTTACTGAAAAGAAAAAAAAAAAAAAAAAAAAGGGGGTCTGATGATATCTAGCTTTGCGGCGAGATACGAACAGCAGTATTACCTGAGGAATACGCTCGTTATATCCTCAAAATCAGACAAGAAACAACACACGCACCTTCAGATACCCAAACACCTCGACCTCCGGCTTCGGTACAACCACCACCAACAACATTAAGCACGTCGCAATCCGGTAGAACGAGATATGTCGGGGCGCCTCAGTCAAGTGCTATGGCAGGAAAATACAGACCTGTTCCACGCCCCAATCCCCCCAGCACCTTCCATTCACCAGTAACGCCGAGTCCTTCTCAGGATAGATATGTACTTTTCGTAGTGCATGCCTCGACTCTCCATCTCCATGAGATTGAATCGACAGGGTTGTGTAACGAAGGTCTCTTTCAAAGAATGAGAGAGGAATACTCTCGGACCAGAGGGTGGCTCAGAAGCTGGTGTGGATTAATGGTATATTCCCACTGCGACTTCTACAAGGTTTGTGCTTTGTTCTCAATTACTGAATCTTCCCATCATGCTGCTCGATCACGTTTTTCCATTTAATTCTACTGACGGGAAGGCTGTTAGTTCGAGGCATGGCACAAGGGCCGATACACCGAACGCGGTACCGGCATCCCCGCCGAGGATAACCATGAGTACTTCTATCTGCCCAAACCCATGGACCGTGTGCCTCCCGTATCAAAACACGAGTTTTATGACAGATTTTACCAGCGCGTCAGGTCGGAAGGCTGCATCCTGGGGGGATCTCGGAGCTGCACAGAGACGGATGCGGTTGAAAGAATCCCTCAAAAGAAACACACTATTAGCACCGCCCACAATCCTCGGCCCCAATTCTACGGCATCATTGCTAGAGAGAAGAAATCCGGCCTTCGTATGGTGATTTACATATTGGTCTCATCTATTCCGGGCACTATATTCTTCTTCCTCTGGTTATTTCGCTGGGACCATGAGAGTCTGCAGGATGCCTCCGTCCTGCTCCTGATCTCATTTACTCTTCTCGGGCTGCTTTATGCTACACAGCTTCTTTAGGATGCCGGCATTTATGAAAGCCGTTAGAAACTGCCATCACGGTTTCTGTTAGTTCGACAGTCAAGTCGTGGCGTGGTGATTGAGTTTCGCCTGAGGCCTGGCATTAATTGGCCTGTCGTCGCGTCCTCGCTGACAGCTGCTACCCCGCTCTTATCGATAAGCTTAGCTCCCCCACGCATCAGTTCCCGATCTCGCCGAAATCCCTCAGCTGCATCACCAGCTTCTCTCACACGAAAGAAGAAGGGGCATCGTCAAAGACCGGTACCTCAAGTGCTGCTGATTCTGTCTCACTATCTGCTCGGTCTAAAGTACCAATACACTACACTGCGACGCGTCTGTTATCATCAATCATCCTAGCTTGAATACTTCGAAGTTCCTCGCCCATAGTAGTTCCCATTCATCATGCTACTTATACATCCCAGCCATCGAGGCCTTCGCTCCCTTCTCTGGCCCATACCCCACGGAGAAGCAAAGTGAGGCCCTTATCCATTATCCGGGGATGTTACACCAGCTAAGGCAAAGAATATCAATGTTCCCTTGCCCTAGCTAGAGGTTGGTGCGCGTCATCTCGTCACATCAACACGACGTAACGCCATGGATACATGTATAAATACATCGAGCTTTTCGAAGGCATCCCGATTTAGGTACCTGTGTAGAGGTAGAGTTCCTCGAACTGTCAATGTGCATTTCCAAATCTGAGAGCCACGTCACAGTCGATGAGATCCGAGCTTCGTGGATCATCACCCTAAGTTGTTTGTAGACGGCGATTATGACCCTCGCGTTCCGGAAATCGGAAAATGACCGCGCCATTTCCGCCCCAGATCGTCAGATCTCAAATAACATCAAGAATCTGCAACCGAATACAAAATAAGATATCAAAAAAATTCAATCGTCATATAAGCAAGTCTATCAGCATATGTATCGCTCAAAAAAAAATGAAAACGAAGAAAGAAACAGAAACAGAAAATCACTCATAAAACATCAAAACCGTATATGACGTCCCAGAAAGTAATACCCTTGACACCCACCCGGTCGTCCCATCCCATTTTCCCCATTCATCCGAAAAAGAGACAAAAAACACCCCTTGGCCTTTTTTATGTAGAAAAAAAAAACACAACAGGGCCATTTTTTGCTTTTAAACCCATTTCGTTGCCTCGCCCCTTGCCCAGTGAACCCCCCTGTGCCCGCTGTATGCTTCCGTGAACAAGACATCCAAAGGGTGAGATGTCCAGATGGGACATCCAAGAAAGATAGGAAAGAAGAAAAAAAAAAAAAAAAAAAACTCGCTTCGCCCCGCAATGGTCTAGAGGTATCAATACCCATTCAAATGGACAATCCATGATCGACATGAGAGTAGGACGTGCAAAACAATAACCAAGAAAGAGCAGGAAAATTTGGGAGAAACGACGTGGTGCCTGAGTCCGGAGAGAATCAAAGAAAGCGAGAAAAGAGCCTGAGCTCGAATCTCTTCTATCAAAAAAGAAACAAATTGTGGTAAAATAGTTGATATCGGATAGCTTCATCATCAACATGTGGTGGGGGTTTGATCGATGGCATGCCGAGGTCATATGAAAAAGGACCTTTATGACTGCAACAGCCATGTGTAGAGGTGCAGAGTTATACCCAATATTGTGTACCTGGCTGTTGAGCAACTTTCAAGATGCAGGGGAGTTTCGTAGTGTAGTTAGTGTAGACTCCGGTAGACTCTAGTCGTGGATGCTTCTTTGTCATCATCGCGAAGAAGCCATTGGTGTCTTGTTAGTCCGAATCAACTTCCATTATCTCCTCAATGTCGAAATACGGCAACTCCCTCGCAAAGTTGAATTCCTGTTCCTCCTCATCGCTGTTGGGCTCCTCGACCTCGGGGATTCTCTCGGGCGGATGATCGTGGAAGATGCTCTCGCGTCTCTCGCCGAGACGCCGTTTCATTCGGCGATGGTCCATGGGGCATTCCCCATTCTCGAATGGCTTCAAATCCTCGTGGTCAGAGTCCCCTCGCTCGCTAATCGTTCTCTTGCCGATGCTGCTGCCGCGGCTGATTCGGTTCCGCCGCTTGAGCTCCTTCTGCCACATCATAAATTCACGCAGCGCGTCCTCATCGCCCTTGTACTCATCGTCCGAGTCATTACCGCAGGCCAGGTTCTGCATGCTATTGACGAGCCCCCCAAATCGAGACGCGGGCTTTTTATTACGTGCGTTGCCAGCTCCGCTGCGGGATGACGGCCGACTTCGTTCGGAGTCCGCGTCCTCGTAACCGTTGGGCTTCAGGGCCCCCTCCCTGTCGCTATCCATAGGATCAAAGTCGCTAAGCTCCTCGATCTCTAAGTCCACACGGGTGTGCGACATCACGACGCGAGGAGAAGCTCGGCCGGTAGTGACTGGCCGGAGCGACGATGGAGAATGAGAGTCGGATTCCGAATCCGATCCGCTAGATAGTGATGGGTCCATGATGTCGTCATCGGAAGGTTTAGGATCCGAAGAGTCAGAGGTTGATGGTTGTGGGGATAGTGGAGGGTACCCGACAGTAGGTGGTACGGTGTGACCGGTGGAAATTGGGGATGGAACGGGGGGGCGGGAGAACCTAGGGTGGGAGTGGTGGAGTGGCATACGATTTTGGGAAAGCGGCGGCGGTGGTGGTTGTCGTCGCGATCTCGGAACTTGGTCTTTTTCGTTGATGTTGGCCTTACGGTGGGCCGCCGGTGAGGTTATCGGGGTTTCTGGCGGTGACGCCGTCCCAAGCTTCAAATTGGCCGCCGGTTGTCGAGCCGCCTTTGTCTTGGGTGTTTTTTTACCCATGGTCTGTTCGGCCTTTGTTTTAGAAGAAAACCTTTTCGTCTTCTTTTTTTGATTTTTTTTTCTCCTTCTTTTTCCTTTCTTTTTTTTAAACAGACCAAAAAGAGCGGCTGCCCTGCCCTGGTGGCGGTGGGAGAGAACGCGACACCGCTGTATCCTCAGCGAAGGAGCCAAGTCCGGCGAAGAGGAACTACTTGCAGAGGTAGGGTAGCAAGGGAAAATGATGAAGTTCGAATTGCCTAGAACTCGAGAGACCCAGACCGGGGGCTTCAGAGACAAGGCGCGGGGGGGCAGTGGTCTCAATTTCTGGCGTCGGTATGTTTCGATCGATTTTCCTTATCGATTGAATCGTCGCCCGAATGTGGGGTAAAAGCAAGTCGAGGGGGAAAAAAATGTATTCGGCAGCGCGGGGGTTTCGAGGGTGAGATGACGGCGAGGTGAGCCGTCTGTGTTCGTGCCTTCTTTTTATTCGTCCTCAAGAAATCCCTCCGTCTTTGCCACTATGCTTGCTTCCCTATTGTTGGCAGAGTCGGCAGAGATAAAAGAAGAAGGGCAAATAAAAAACTAGTGTCGAGGACGTAACAATCCGATTCGGTGAGTTGATTGTCCAAGGTGCTGTACTGGGCCGTACTCATAAAAGCCAGCCTAACGTTTTGAGTAAATGAGAATAGTAGACGCGAAGAAGCAGATGCAATTCTCGTCTACAACGTAAAAATGTAAAAAGAAGAGCGAGATCAAGGAGCCGACAACCGAAGGGAAAACCTCCAACGAGGGAAAAGCAATTGGTTGAGGTTGGATTTCATGATAGAGTATTGGTGGACGGCTGAGAGACGGGCGGTCAAAAGTTGGAAAAAGAAGGGGAAGCTGTTGCCAGAGAAATCAACCCTTCTTTTTTTGTGTGTGCGTATGTGGATGTGTTGTTATGTGTATGTGCAGAGTGCAGAGTGCAGGCTTGGGGTGGGAGGAGAGGGATGAGATGGTTGCGGGTTGCGGGTTGCGGGTTGCGGATAAGAGAGGGTCCAAGACAAAGTCTAGGCGGAGGGGGAGGAAAAAAATAAGAAGAAAAAAGAATAATGATGACAGCCGGCAGGGGAGGATGCAGATGCAGGCGCAGATGCAGATTCAGTGCAGGTCTGGCCTCTAGACCTTTATTTTGCTGTTAGGCGATGCCAGATTTGGTGGACTGAGGGGCGAATACACTGCAGCAGAGGAGATCCGAGGGTTCAATGCCGTCTCTGTCGCTGGGTTGAAGATTGTCGATTTGAAGATTGTGGGAATAGTAACTAGGTGTAGATAAATGCTTGTGGACGGATGAAGGGGAGAAACTGAGTTGTTGAGGGCTTGTGATTGTGCCAATAGGCCGAGGGCAGGAAGAGACGAGAGATATTATTCCACGACTCGCAGATGGCCAGATCAAGGATGGGGGGTTTGCGGGGATGGCGAAATAGAAATAAAGATGCAGAAGATGCTTGGGAAAAGCTTCAAATGATGTTTGGCTCAAGTTTTGTTGGCGAGGAGCAAGCGCACAATAAATTGAGGCTTTGCTCAGTCTGGGCAACAAGCACGAGAGTTGTTCCTTCCGGACTCGCGATGGCGGAGAAGGAGCAACAGACAGTATTGTTGAGTGAAAGAGCAGGAACGTCCTGGGTCCGGGGTGGGACGGAGGGAGAATGGCAGGAGCGACGATGCAGAATGTCGCTCGTGGGTTATAAATCTTGCCGTCTTCCCAACAAGATCGAGATGGCTGCGGGTGTCTTGTATTTTATGTGCTGAAAGCGCACCCAGAAAATCTATGGGTGCATATATCAAAATGCCCAGATATCAGATGCGTGTGCGCAGACGCTCCGATCTAGATTTGCGCGGCAGGCCGGCAAACCTGTTTAGGGAGGCGAATGCGCGGGTGCGCGTGGGTTCGGTGGAATGCGGGTGGATAATATACTTCTCCCTTTTCTGCGCGCATATGAGACTAGAGTTAGTATGACGATGACGGGGAACACAACACAGAAGCACTGCTTCGGGGGTAGGCTGACGATGCGCCCTCACTTGGCGGGCACCTGGACTTGTGTCGCAGTAGTAGATGAAGATGACGCACAGGAGAATCCAAGGCAATAGGGCCTATCGAGGATGAAAACGCAGACCGTCGAATCGGCGGTTGGTCTTCAGTGGGATCCGGGAAAACCAAAGGGAAAACAGAAGAAAGAAGAAAAAGAAGATGTAAGACCAAGGAAAACGGCGAGAAATCCGGCCTTTGGCAGTATAAACTGGATCGAGCCTCCTGGAATGGTGAACGGACCGTGTTCTGGGCGACCTAACCAATATGGCGTAGCTTCAACCTTGCAATAGGTCTAGATGCTTTTGCAATCGTTTGAAACTGACGATTGATCTGATGCGATGCGTGGCTAAAGGTCCACGAGATCAATCAAGACTACAGCACAGGGCAGGAAACCAGGGATAGGGGCCAGGGCAGGGTAGTATTCGGTGGTTACAACAGCTCGATCGCTTCAGGAAAGCCAAGCTGTGAAAGTCAAGTACTCGAAGGAGTCGAGATAGGGAAAATAACTCAAAGTTGTGCGGGACAATGGATCGAGTCCGATCTTGGGCCACAACTCTCTTATACTTTTTGATTTCCTATTATCCTTGTCCTTTACTATTTCGAAGATTTCAACAAAGTCCCGAGAGAAGGGCATGGAAGAAAAGAAGAGACCAGGGATGGATGCGATGAATGCCCGTCCCTCGCATTCTCCTTCCCTACAACCACTCCACGGGCGATGATCCCCTGTGCGAGCCACGCCCCTAAAAACCTCCCATCTCAACCGAGGGAAGCAACGCCATCCTTGCGAACCCCGGCCAAACGACGTCGCCAACTGGTACCAACGAAGGAGCCAAGGAGACCAAGGGGAGTACCCTTATAAAATTGGCTCCGGCTCGGCGGGAAAGGAGGGGGTGGTTTTGGTGGGAGGAGAGGGTTATGATACAAGAGAACAATGCTGCAAAGTGGCCTGGCCCATAATGGCACCCATCAACCTGCTCCATAATCATATGCAGAGCGGCTTCGACGAGTGCCTTTTGGGCAGCAATGCTCCTGGACGGATCGCGACTGGGCACCTCCTGTGACCAATGTAATAAGCGCATCCCGAGAACCGGCTCAACTAGTAGTTTCGCAACTGTACGAGAGCTGTGGTTTCCGCTCGGGTGCTCTTAATTTATTGCTTTAGGGTCCAACTTATGTGGGACGCACTTCGTAGTGTTGAGCAGTCGACGATGGCAATGGCCTTTCGCTGTTTTTGCCCTTGCACTCAGAGATGAAAGCCCACCGATAACAGCCCAGCCATGGCAAAACGACACCAGGCCGTAATTGCTTATACTGACCCCATGCCTGGGTACGGAGTATCATGGCTTCATACATGTGAGAAAACATATGCACCATATTAATATTATACTAAGCCCAAAAGAAGGGCAAGGTTTGTTTGTGTAACAAAAGACTTCCAAGCTTCGAACTTGTTACGTGCTACTTGTGCTGATTTCAGTTAGAAAACACATCAACGTCCAGGAACAGGAACGCGACAACCGAAAAATCCGACATAAACTAGTTCCAAGAAGCTCGATGGAAGCAAAGTGATACCTCGTAGTAAACTAACGGCCCGGTAGCTCCCGGTCTAGACCGTCCAAGATTTCACTGGAAGAGCTCACCCAACCAGGTCCAGGGCCAGGCATACCAGCTAACCGCCAGTGTGGGTTTGATGTGCCATATGCATCCCCTAGTGATCACGACGGGAGCTCTGAGAGGCTGGCGTCGCCTTCAACAAAAACGAAGAGGCGAAAGAAGAAAAATTTTTTCGTCCCTCTTCGCCCGAGTGTGTCAAAGCCGCTCTGCGTTGTCAAGAGCCCCCATAACTGCTGTCTGCGAGTTAGCCTGCCTTGCCGAACGGTTGCTTACCTTCCAATTCGGCGTTCCAGTTTTAGTATCAATCACAATATATACCCACACCCTCGCAGCTGAATGTGAAGATGTGGATGTGATCGGGTCTCAATGGGACCAGTAAGACGGAGGAGATGGCAGAGAACTCATGATAGGGAGCAGCACGGCAAGCAGTCTAGTCCAATGCCTTCTTGAATAATGTAATACATTGAAATATTATTCGCACGCCCACTTCGTACGAAGTCGTCCATATCAGTGCTTTAGTGAACCCGATTTCAATGTTGTGTTCTAGAAATAAATCCGGGTAGGGCTCAAAGGTGCCATGGATCCGCTTCGGTATCAGAGCACCACGTATCTCTGACGACCATCAGCATCTCTGGCACTGACTCACTAGATGCACGCACATACCTCTTCTGGGCACGGCAGGGAACAAGTGAATGAGGGGTGAGCCATCAAGAGCAAAAGGCTAGGCAACCACCGCCAGCGACAACGGAGGCTAGAGTCAATCGACAGTGGATGGGCACCGGCGTGGAAATAAACGAAGACACCCCTCAACCAGGCATCTACATCTACACTAGTGTCCAGTGCCCACCAGCCTAACTGCCAGCTGTGTGACGGGCGTGCGGCGAGCGAGGGCTTCCGCTGCTGTAACGTGCAGCACACACATTAGTGCTGCTCGACCACGAGGGGCTCTGCTGTTTAAGTCAAAATTGCTTGAGAGACTCCATCGAATGCAATGTACGAAGTAGCGCGAGGTAAAATCAAATCAATGCCCCGTCGAGTTGATGGCTCCCGGCAACTCGTCTTCCCCATACGTCATCGTGCTGGCAGCTGCAAAATACGAAGGACACCCGCACGACCTCAATGAGAGAGCAATGAGTCTACATGGTAGTGATACTCCCATGTCGGTAACCAGCATCGTTGAGGTGTTGACTTTACTATTGAGAGACTTCGGGAGTATTCTGCGAATACTATATAGCGATTATTCGCCGCTGGAGGGAAAGAAGGGCACCGTCTAACACTCCGTCAATTCTGGGTCATCATTGTTACTACTAACCCGGTGCCAGTGCAGCACAAGAGTCGTTCGGATTCATACCGAGGTTGACAATTCCCCGGGTTTAAACCATGAATCCAGAATCCTGCCCGTTTCCATAATTATGTCGATGTGATACCGACTTCCAATGGATCTTCAAATCTAAACTACGAAAGACGGCAGGGGCGATGGATTTGTCTACTGACCCAGACCTTGGAGATTTAGCGGCTCTCACAGTCGTCGAGAAAAGCCCAAGGAGCGATGTCGATTTAGCCGATATTTAAGCGACATACAGTCCAACCTCATCCACGCTCTACCATAAACTGTGATGCATCCCAAGAGCTTGAATCACCGTCGAGGTGGACAAAGTCATTTCATCGATCATGGACTGCCCGTTTCATCTTTGATATTATCCAAAATCAAAACCCGAACCATTTGATGCAGTATTTCATACTCATTTAATTTCTCTCCTTGCTCGAAGTCTGCCTCTCTTCGCTGCTAGTTTCCTCGCTAGTTTTCTCCACGCGTTTCGAGTCTCAAGCATCCTGCCGAAGATCAAGTCCCGAGCGCGAGTACCACCGCCATACGCTTAATATATAGATCTATCGAGCAATCGAAACCGCGTCCCTGAGTATTCCAGAATATACCATAGATCTATCACCTAGAGAAGAATAAAGCCGTCTACGTCGAAACAAACATGAACCCAGCCCAGCCTGGCGCGGGCCAACCTGGCCAAGGTGCTCCCGCGGGACAGGGTGCGGCCGCGGGACAGGCTAGACCTGTCCAGCTCCTTCGCCCCGAAATAATTGATAAGATCCCATACCTCACTCCCGATGAGAAGGTCAAGTTCTCGGCCGGTTTGAAGCAACTCTGGACCGCTCTGGAGTCGTTGCCCAAAGATTCTGCCGAAGCGGCCGCCACACGTACCCGAATCGCCGATTTCTCAAGAACCCTTATCCAGAAAACGCAAGCGAAGAATAGGCAAGCGCAAGCACAGGCCCACGCACAGGCTCAAGCGCAAGCTCAGGCACAGGCTCAGGCACAGGCTCAGGCTCAAGCTCAGGCTCAAGCTCAGGCTATGATGGCGCAGAAAGCTCAAGGACAACCACATGTACGGGATATATTTTCGCGGCTGCCAGCAGCCCCGCCCTGCTGCTATGCGGGGTACTTTATGTTGGGACAGACGGGCTAACAGATGACAACTCTAGAACGTAGCCGTTCCCCAGATGGGCATTGCCACCGCAGCGCCGACTGCCGCCACTACGCAGGCCGGAGAACAACCCATCCTTCCTGCGGCACCGACTCAGACTGCCCCTGCTAGAGCCGCTCCGGTACCCCAACCAACAGCTAAGCCTCCTGTCAAGGTCCCCGAGCATATTCTCAAGCATGTAAACCAAATGACATTCCATGTGCCACCTCACATGGCGGCTACGGGAGCAGATGTTGCTAAAGTCATGAACAATTTGCGGACGCAGTATGCAAAGGCACTTATGGCCATGGAAACCGCACGCACTAGGAATCAACAAATTGATAATCTGATCAAGGAGAGGAATGAGAAAGGAAATCCCCTTTCAGCTGAGGAGGCGAAGAGCTACCAGCTCGTTAAGGACCAGCAGCAGAGAGCCTACGATGATGGTAGGAAGTTCGTCGAAGGGCTTAGAAGGCAGCAAGAAGCTTTGAACAAGGCAAACTTGGAGAAGAAGGCCCAAGCTGCCGCTGCTTCTGGGCAGGCCCCCACCCCAACTCAACCTCCAGTTCAGCCTCAAGCTCCACCTCAGATTCAAGCACAACCACAACACCTGGGTCAACCTCAAGTCCAACCAGCTACACAAACACCAGTTCCAACTCCAGCTGTTGTGCAAAAAATTGCACCCAGCCCACACCTACAGACTCCACAAGCCATTCCTACCCCCGTGACTGCTGCTGCTGTTGAGGCTGCAAAGGCCCAGGCTGCTCAACTCGGGACTCCCACTCAACAGCAGGTGCGACCCAGTGCTCCAGCCAAACCAACCCTGGCAGCCCAGCAACAAGCTGTAGCGGCTGTCAAGACAGAGCAGGTACACCCCTCACCAGTCAACACTCAAGTCGCAGCAGCAACCGGCCAACACCCCTCCGCCTCGACCCCGACCGCGAGAGTCCAAACTCCCCAGGCAGGAACGCCCGTCTCGGCCAGCGCGCGCCCCCTAAGCATGTCAGCCGCCGTCAACCTCGCCAACCAGCGCGTGGCGCAGCCCGGAACGACGCCCACCGTCGGACAACCAACCGCGAACGGAACACCGGTCACCTCTGCCGCCGGCATCTCCCCAGCTTCTGCCGTCCACACGCACGCTCACCCCGTCTCCGTACAGACAACAGCTGCTGCGTCGTCATTCCCCGCCAAGATGCCCATTCCGAAACAACTCCCCGATAAGCTCACTCAGCCCGTCCAGCCCGTCACCGTTTCGGGTGGCGCTGGTCACGGCCGCCCCACATATACCGGCGGCACGGGAACAGCCGGCGGGGCTATCAGCCAGCCGGCTCTTCCCAAGGTGCCCGCTTATGTCTTCGAGTCCGAGGGAGAGCATGTTCTTAGCAAGAAGAAGCTGAATGAACTCGTTCGACAGGTTTGTGGCGGTTCTGCCGAGGGTCAGGAGGAGAATCTCCTTGCGCCCGAGGTCGAAGAGGTATGTGCTTCCAAGTGAATGAATATTGAGTTAATTTCGCTTCACGTGCATTGTTTCTCATTTATTTCATTTTAATTCAACAACTTATTGTATTTTATTTTCCTTATTCAATTTTCGTTTCATATCACACCCCTTTTCTTTTCATTCACTCACGCAGAGGTCCCTTTCTAACTTCTTTAAACAGAGCATGCTCCAACTTGCTGATAACTTCATGGACAACGTCATCGCCACGGCCTGCCGAAACGCCAAGGAGCGCGGCTCCAAGGTCCTCGAGATTCGCGACCTACAACTCGTCCTGGAGCGCGTGTACAACATCCGAGTCCCCGGCTACTCGAGCGATGAGCTCAGGACCGTCCGCAAGGTCCAGCCCGCGGCGGCTTGGATTTCCAAGATGAGTGCTGTCCAGGCCGCCAAGGTTATGCCCAGCAAGGAGGACTAGCGAAGAGCTTTGATCGGAGTCAGCGAATGGCTCTACTTGAGTCTCAGCGGAGGGGAGGAATGCCACTTGGACTGTGTGCTTTACGGATACTTTTTTTTTCCTTCTCATAACTTATTTTTCTTTATCATTGAGGCATCGGACGAAGGGTTTACTTTTTTACGTTTCTTGAAGGCGTTTCGAAGCGACGTTAGGGAAAACGTTCGGCATTAAAGGATCAATGGAATGGGGGCGAAATAGGCTTGTGGCACACGATCCTGTTCTAGGTCTATGGCAGGGTGGTTTTACATGTATGATTTCTTCGACGGTCCTAAGTACTTGATTGTTTTAATCTCGTGATCTCTTTTGCTTTTGTGTTCCTGCATAATTATCTGTGCTTAACGTGCGGGAGGTATTGGGCTTAAGAGGATCGGAGCGTATTGTGGGTTTGAAGCGGAAATACGAAGGGCATCCATCTCTCTATTACGAGCAGACAAGCATCGTGTTTTCAGGCAACCTGATATCATGCCGATTATTTTGCGGGACCTTTTCATCCACCTTGTCGACGACTGAGGGTCCAGTGTTGTGCCCAAGAGTTAACGTCGGTTGTGTAAATTCACCGTATTATACAGTTGCGGGAAGCCCCGGCCACTCCTAGCTGGCCTTCGATGTGGGGACAAACGTTGTTGACCAGGAAAGGAATTTCCTGGGGAAACTGGGTGCCCAACTTGGTGTGAGGTTCGGCAGCTCAGGCCAGCTGGGCCGCCGACATCAGATGCTCCCTCATCCCAAATAGGGCGCGGTCTTTTCGCTATTCCCATAGGAATTTCTTTTTGCTGTGTTAAACACGGGCCCAATGAGAAGGACAGTGTCTGCGCAATTAGTACTTTACCGATTTTAGAACTATAATAAAACGGGAACCACGAAGGAATTAAAAGAGCGACAACATTGTATTGAATTAATGACCGAATCGACGGAATCGAATTAATGACGATGGAGGTTGTAATGGGTTACGGTGCTAAAATAATTGAAATTGTGGATGATGGCAGAACCTCGGATAAATAAAAATGGAACACATCCTTCTCACTGGACCCTTAAACATTGTTCCAACACGTTGCTTGATATTAAATAATTGTGGAAGGAGCCATTGTTGTCTTGACTAAATAGGAAGGAAGTGGCCCTTCGCGGCTTTCCATTTTATGTTGGAAAGAGTGGGCGGGAACGGATGGGCAAGGGAAGTGCGGGACGGGGAAGGACCCCTGGCCTTAACCCAAGCCACCAAGGTACAGTGCTACACTACACAAAGTACGCTTCTGTGCTCTGCCGGTCAGTTGCCAGCCAAGTATTAAATCAGCTCAGCGATCGTCTCATCCGGAGCATTACCCTGCGACATGACTGATCGACGGACTACGGGGTAGCTCGTGGGTTTCCGGGAACTACTGAGGGAGAAGGAGAGAAGTGGACTTATTCGAATGATTATTACCCGGGGAAATTCCTCGAATTTTATTACCAACAGGGTAGGGCTAGAGGTGTCTGACGCGATTCTCGTTGCTTCGTACGAAGCAACGAGAATCGCGTCAGACACCTCTAGCCCTACCCTGTTGGTAATAAAATTCGAGGAATTTCCCCGGGTAATAATCATTCGAATAAGTCCACTTCTCTCCTTCTCCCTCAGTAGTTCCCGGAAACCCACGAGCTACCCCGTAGTCCGTCGATCAGTCATGTCGCAGGGTAATGCTCCGGATGAGACGATCGCTGAGCTGATTTAATACTTGGCTGGCAACTGACCGGCAGAGCACAGAAGCGTACTTTGTGTAGTGTAGCACTGTACCTTGGTGGCTTGGGTTAAGGCCAGGGGTCCTTCCCCGTCCCGCACTTCCCTTGCCCATCCCTTCCCGACCACTCTTTTTTTAGCTAATAGCTATAAAAGTTATACTATAAAGGAATTTAGGAAGTAAGTTAAAGTTTACTTATTTAATATTTTTAATATTAAAAATATTAAATAAGTAAACTTTAACTTACTTCCTAAATTCCTTTATAGTATAACTTTTATAGCTATTAGCTAAAAAAAGAGGGTTGGGGAGGGGGGGGGGAAAGGGGGGGGATATTCTCCCATAAACTTTCAAACATAAATATAGCAAAAATTACCACCCGTCGTCCCAACCACATCCGCAAGCTCCCTCAACGTCCACGGCTCGCCCAGCCACCCGAAATCAACCGCATCTGTATCAAGGTACTCTTCGTAGTCGAAACCCGCCTCTCCGGGCCTGTACGGATACGCCGAGACGTACCGCTCGAACAGGGTGGTGGCCCAGTCCATGGGCGCCACACCGTCAGGCTCCGGGCCCGGAGCCTGACGGTGTGGCGCCCATGGACTGGGCCACCACCCTGTTCGAGCGGTACGTCTCGGCGTATCCGTACAGGCCCGGAGAGGCGGGTTTCGACTACGAAGAGTACCTTGATACAGATGCGGTTGATTTCGGGTGGCTGGGCGAGCCGTGGACGTTGAGGGAGCTTGCGGATGTGGTTGGGACGACGGGTGGTAATTTTTGCTATATTTATGTTTGAAAGTTTATGGGAGAATATCCCCCCCCTCCCCCCCCCCTTTTTTTTTTAAGTCACGTGGTTTCAAAACCGCTGTTGGAGTGTGGTTAGAGAAAAGGAAAAGTTTTCCGTGTCGTTGTTGAGATGGAGCATGTCTAGAAATTTCTGAGCCTCATTAGAATAAATAGTTTTTTTCTCCCTGGTTGAGCAGGGGACATGAAAAGTGGAGCAATCGATGGGAAAATTTCGGCACTCCAACAGCGGTTTTGAAACCACGTGACTTAAAAAAAAAAGGGGGTGTGTGTGGTTTGGTGGGTTTACGAAGGAAGGTATTTTGGGAATTCCGTGACATCCGACGGTATTGGATTGTTCGATCAGGTCCGAGCTAAGTTTTGTTTCCATATCCCTGCAAATATTCCAACACTTGACGCGTTTCCTTGGCCAACCTTGCAATCAGATCCATCACCGCACTCTAAGTAACCAGAATCCAGCACTACCATCAAAATGGATCGCCGAATGTCTTCCAGAATCGAATCTCTACAAAAATGTGCGACAGACTATCCCGAACAGCGAGCGAACATTGAAGCAATAATCCGGTACTATGAGGCGGGTGGACGACTTCCTAAAGCTGGTGTAGAAGTTCTGTACTGCTTTGACGGCGAGAACGTCAAGGTGGGATCACACGAGGACCTTACCCATGAACATGTAGCACGGAAGGCAGTCGGCTGGGTGGATGTATGTTGTTTAACGAACTCCTGCGCTTTTCAATTGTTTTTTCCGCAGAAAGCTAACCACAATGGTGTTTAGATGAATGTGTCCCAAATGGGATTTGCGCCGTAGGCTGGCCAAACCAAAAAGGACGTCGATGTGAGTGTGGTCGATGGTACGCCCTATCCCCACTCAGTTTTCCACTAATCCATCCCAGTCGTCGCCGAGTACCATTGAGGCAGCTGCCCCAGGCTACTTGCAAATGGCCGAGTCAGTGGCTTGCCCAGTTGATGCGGCTTCTCGAATGCATACCGTACGAGCTAAATCCCGGACGCTCCAGCGAGCATTGCTAATCGGAGGTTGTGAACAGCCCTTAGCGCAATTTCGCATTCCGTACCAGTATGGAGGAGACGAGACGATTGTCATCAATGCCACGATATGCAACGACACCGGCTCGCGGATCCGGACTATATACGAGCACGACTTCAACCTCCTAAACGGACCTCCTGCTAGCCGCCATACTTTTCCCCCGCAGCCTCTTCCAATCAATACTCCCAACGGCGTCGCCATGGCGCCAACTGTTTCCATGCTGATCGCATTATTAAGCGCGATCAAAGTGGGGCGATCAAGGCCTTGACGGACCGGATGCCCGAGCGGTTCGTGATTCGGAATTTCAATCATGGGCAGACCTTTCTCTTGTCTGGCATGGCAATGCGGCAAAGACTATGTTTCGCGACCGCGCCCTGTAACGACTTTTTATACGTCTCTGTCAAGAAAAACGGAATAGTCTCACAACTCCCTGTTGTCTAAATCCAAATGATGCTCGATATATCTCCGAACAACTATGTCTCGGAGGCGGATGCGAGTGGGAACCGGCCGTATCGAGGATCGGACGTAGACACTCACCAATTTCTCGGTTTAAGCGCATGCAATGGCCAAAGTCTACTCTCACGCTCTTGTCTCCGACATCGCCGCCTTACATCATTTCTTGGGCCTCGTGATATTCTTGCGGATATAGCCTTGCGGGAACTTTTGGTGGGCTCGATGGAGCCAGGTATCAATCTAGGAATCAGATCGGCCTCGTTTTCCCCCTTTTCTCGTGAGGAAACAACAAGAAGGATTCGACAGAAAGGCGGACTGGTAAATTACGCCTTTCGGCTATCTTATGTTTAGACGGTGCTCGTTCCTCCCTTGCTGATCAGCGTTCTTCGCGAGAATAGAATTCATTCTTCGGACTGTAAAGATGAGTAGGTGAGGAAATTGAAAGCCGGCTCGCTCCTAGGGTCTTGAGGCCATCAGGGTCCTGATGATAATAATTTTATCTGGAAGGATCAGTCTCCTTTTGTTTTATGTCTGGGCTAAGTCCAGCTCCCCAACTAAGCAGATAGTAGCCGCGGCGCAAGAAGCAGAGATCAATGTATTCTAAAACCAGCCGCTTTGTCTTAATGCTCCTCGTAAGAGTTGACAGCGAGTGTTGTACTGTTCTTGCCCAACCGCACTGAGCCTGCGAGAATTGGGGGTTTTCTTCGTCTCCCGTCATTGGATCTTCTTGCATGGCACGACGCAAGCCATACGTGTTCATCAATAGCGAGAGGTGATAGGGGCATTTGGAGCTTGATAAGGCCATCAAATGGTGTGCTGCTGCTGCTGTGGAAGCATCGAATTTCAATTATTAAGCCGCTCGGCGCTGGACGAGACCACGTTTAAGGAACATCAATTTGAAGTCGTTGAAATGGCGCTCAACTCAAAGTCAATTACGTGAGGATTGTATTACTGTGCACCAGTCCAAGTCTGGTGATAATCCGAGTCAAGTACACTACATGGTGGGGGGGGAACAACACGGAACCGAGAAGATGACCGTGGATCAAATCAATTGATACTGAGAGTCGTGAGGCAGACTTTGAGGCAGCAGGCACCAAAGGGCAACGTCATGGGGCTCGCTGGCGAGGTTGCCTATACTCGAGAGCCTAGTGGATGAACTACCGATCTTGCAGGTATCAGGTACCGTTTTTGGGAGCTGATCGCCTGACGAGGGTGCTCCAGGTACCATTGTACTGACACAGCTGGAATCAGGTAGGCAGGTACGTGACGACAGCAGACAGCCTGGCGAAGGTTCAATCAAGCTGGGTCCTTTATGCTACGGTACAAGGAGTGTACAACTGAACATCGGCTTCTGCGTACAGTGCCCAAGCGCTGCGGCTGCTGGGCGCAAAGACTGAGGTGGATGTATACTCAACGGCTTATTTCGTATCAAAGACAACATATTACCACATAATACTCAGTAAAATTAAGTATAAAGTACTTTATGACACAGCATAAAAACCTGCATCTGATTCGGGTCCGTCAAGCACATCCAGTGCCAATCGCCAATCGCCCTGCTGCGCTGCACAAGTCAGGTTCTGTTCTACTTTCTGATTCCGGCTGGCTCCTGCTCCTGCTCTCCATGCAACAAGCAGCAGGAAAGACCAAGACAAGCTGCTGCTCGAACAACCACACACGCAACAATCCTCGCCATCCACGCTCAACTTTCCCACAACGAACGCGGCGCCTGCCCTTCAGCCCTCCATTCCTGTAAAAACTCTTTACATCTAATCCATTATTGTTTTCCTCCCATTCCATTTCGATCCGCTTCTCATTCCCCCCTTCCAGCGAACTAGGTTTTCCGATCGGAAATCTCCGTCCTCTCGAAAGCAGAAAGCGCGCTTCCCAAATCGAGGTCATCATCATCACCCATCGCCCATTCGAAGCCAAAGGAAACACGCATCCCCCAGCGACGCCTGAAGGCCATTTCCATCTCCCGCAGCGTCTTTCCCATTTCTCCCGAATCGTGAGACCTCAGACGGAGTGAAAATTTCACGATATTCGCCTTCATCTCCGTCTATCTCCTTCTCCCCCTTTGTTTTTTCCTTCTCTTTTCTCGTTCCTTCCACACAGCAGCCGATATGCCCGGCAAGACACCCCATAGCAACGGGAACGAGCCCGTCGAGAATGGTATTAGGAGTAACCAGGACGTCGATATGAAGGAAGATCTCAAGGGCAAAGGAAAGAAAGCCGCCAAGGACGGTGATGAGGAGATGACTGTTGTAGTCCCCAAGACAAGACCCGTCAAGTCCTCAGCACCCCCCGATTCCGATGGTGATGTGGCAATGGCCAACGAGGCTGAGGATGCCGAGGGCGAGGTCAAAGTCGACCCCGTCGTGCAAACAGCTACAGGTGAGTTTCTTTCTTTTTCATTTCTTAGATTTTCCCTTCCCTTCGATTCCCATTCCTTTCCTTTTCCTTCCGATGAAAGCAACAACTTCCATATTTCAATCATCATGTGCTTTTTGCCGTCATCTCGCACTGGTGACGCAATGGACAAAAACTTCGTGCCTAACCTTCTCTGTTCTTTGCTTCCAAACACAGACATCAAGAACAACTTTGCCCTGCTGGAACGCGCCGTTGCCCAGTTCGATGCCAGGTTTTCTCTTCGAGCCCTCCGATCCATCTCTCTGATTCGCAAACGCCTCACTCCGGATATCATCGCAAAGGTCATAATCGAGACTTTCCCTGCCACTGTAGTGTCTGGAAATGCTGCCAAGGCCCTTCTCTACGCCATCGATCGCCAGGATCTTCCCCTCGGTCGACCTCTTAATGGCGAGGTGGACCACCTGGAGAACGAGCACGCAAAGGCTCCCACGAAAAACGGCGCAAAGAAGGAGCTGAAGGAGGTCATCCCCGAGATTGATATTTTCCTGGGCATCCTTATCCAGGTTTATCTGTTCGATTCCAAGCAGTACCAGCGCGGAGCTGAGTTCTCCAAGCACCTCTCGGACCGGATCCAGAAGCTTAACCGCCGTACCTTAGATTCCTTGTCTGCCAAGGTCTACTTCTACTTTAACCTCTTCTGCGAACAGCTCGACCCCCTACCGCCCTCTACCCAGTCGCCTATTGTCGCTCTTCGTCCTACGCTGCTCGCCGCGCTACGGACCGCCGTGTTGCGCAAGGACATCGATACCCAGGCCACCGTGATTGTGTTGCTCCTCCGAAACTACCTTCTCACGTCGCATATCTCCCAGGCCGATCTGCTCGTCTCCCACACCCAGTTCCCCGAGAACGCCGCCAACAACCAGGTCGCGCGCTTCCTCTACTACCTTGGCCGCATCCGCGCCATCCAGCTGCGCTACGGTGAAGCTCATACCCACCTAACTGCCGCCACCCGAAAGGCTCCCTCCAGTGCCTGCGCCGTGGGCTTCTCGCAGACCGCGACTAAGCTCCTTCTCGTCGTCGAGCTGTTGATGGGCGACATCCCCGACCGCGCGACTTTCCGCCAACCCACGCTCGAAGTTGCGCTCCAGCCCTACTTCCGCCTCGTCCAGGCCGTCCGCGTGGGCAACCTCGAGGACTTCGAGACCATCATCGCCGACCACGCCGACACTTTCCGCCGCGATGGAACGTACACGCTCATCCTGCGCCTGAGGCAAAACGTCATCAAGACGGGCATCCGCATGATGTCGCTCTCGTACTCGCGCATCTCGCTCCGGGACATTTGCATCCGCCTACACCTCGGAAGCGAGGAGTCTGCCGAGTACATCGTTGCCAAGGCGATCAGGGATGGCGTCATTGAGGCAACCCTAGATCGCGAGAGGGGTTTCATGAAGAGTAAGGAGGTGGGTGATGTGTATGCCACGCGTGAGCCTGGAGAGGCTTTCCACGAGCGTATCCGGGTGTGTCTATCTCTTCATGACGAGAGTGTCAAGGTATGTTGTATTCTTCCCCCACCATGTAACACATTAAGTCGCCATTTGTACTAACTTCTATTCCTTTTCAGGCAATGCGATTCCCTATGAACCAACATCGTCTCGAGCTGAAGAATGCCCAGGAGGCACGCGAGAGGGAGCGGGAAATGGCCAACGAGATACAGGATGGGGACTTGGACGAGGATGACCTCGGAGGCGATTTCGAGGGAATGTAAATTCAAAAACACAGAAAAACCAGCAACATTGTCTCTTGTATCTTTACTACTCCATGTTTACTACTCCATGTTCTCTTTTCCTTTACTCTGTTTCTTTCTTTCTAATTCTTTCAACTGTTGTTTCTCATCCCTTTCATCTGTCTCTCCGGTCTTGGCCTCCTCTTCCTTGTGTTGAGGATCCCCATCGTTTTCTCATTGTCAAACCTGTGCCCTCGCCCCTTTCCTTCTTGCCCTTTGTAACAACTCTCGTGGAACTATTTACTTACCGAAACAACAACTTACTACTACTATACTACAGACGGGGAGGTTTAAACCGGGAGGGGACAAATTCTGGTAATGGGCGTTTTCTTCCTTTTTTTCTTTCCCCTATCCACAGCAGCAAACTGGTTTTATTTGTTTTGTGTTTAGCTTTCCCTATCCATCCATCCATTCATCCCCCTGGCGTACTTTTGGTTTTATTTGTCTTTCCGTTGTCAATCTCGACATTTTCCTGGCTCATTCTCTGAGGAAGTGGTAGACCTGGCAGACATCTTGATAAAGACAATTGGGCTTTCTTACTACCTACTTGGCCCTAAGCCTCCTCGTTTGTGTGGTGCTTCACTTTTTGTAAGGTTGTATTAAACGTCGAATATTGTTAGACTAGGTTGTGACCCGGTCACTATTTGAAGGACGAGAGACTTTCTTGCTGAATCTTTATACAGCAATTCGTCCCGTTCTCGGTTTGAGTCGATGCCAATTTCTTCCTTGGCCTTAGGTTTGTCTGTGTATCTTTACTTTGGGAGTATCCCGAGATCGCCGAGACTGGAATCAAGCTTCATGGTTTTTCTCCGATATCCTGGTTTGTTCTTGCTACTCATTCTCGGAGTATCCCTTTCCTAGGGTGTCAAAGAGGCTCTCGAGGATAGGACAGAGGAGCCTCCCCTCTGAATCCCCCCGGAAAAGAAAAGCCCTGATAGTCCATCCGAAGCTGCCTCGTACTCGCCATTTGTCCCCCGTCACGCGTCTCTTCGAGTCCCAATAATCCATCCTGATGTTTGTTGTGATCCGTCAGGGGCTTAAAGCCTCGCCATCAACTTCGCTACTGTACGTATTCTAGCTTTCTCCAAGTACTATTAAAACAGCCTAGGCACCTCACAAAGAAATGAGATCTTTTTTTTTTTTTAATAGGACTCGATAACGAGAATATGTTAATCCTCTAAAACAACTCCCCCGGTCCCCGCCATGGAACAACCGTCAATCAGCATTGTCCTCACTAGGCGTCCTCAAATGCGAAACTCATTTCAACGCCTCCATAGCTCCTCGTAGAAAGAGCGTAACAAAAAACCAGGGTATCCGTGACTTAAAAGTACAAGAAAAGCAGACAGGCCATCTTACAGACAGCCTCCACAGTCCGCCAAAAAAAAAAAAAAAAAAAAAAAAAAAAAAAAGCCCCCTCGCCTCACCCCTTATCAAACAGCCACCTCCTCCGCATCAACACTCACCCTCCGCGCCTTCAACTCCTCAAGATAGTGCGGAACGAATCCACTTGGATCGCAAGGCCTCGTCAGGTTAATCCTCTGCGCCACCACCCAGGCCCTCACGGCATCTTTGGTGATCCTCACCCTCGGCACCATCTTGGGTTCGGGTTGGACGTCGCCATCCTCCTTGGACGCCGTCTCCTTATCCTTGGACGCTTCACCGTCCTTCTTCTCTGCCTGTCCGTCCACATCGTCACCATCTTCTTCTTCCTCCACGGCAGCGGCATCGTCGGGGGAAGGCACGGGAGCGGGAGGTTTGCCTGGTCCGATACCAGCATCCTCAACGACGCCCATATCACGAAGGACACCTAGACAGTCCTCCGGGGTGATCCACGTAGCCTTGCTACAATCAGCAATATCAATAATCACCTCTTCACCCTCTCGCTCGCCGCTCTCATCATCAGCACCCTTCCGCTTCTTATCAGAAGGAGATGCGCTCGACGCCGAGCCACCACTCGTATCAAGGCTCAAAATCCACCGCGCAATCTCCCCAGACCAAAACCGCCGATATCCCTTCCTACCAAGCTCCGAAATAGGCTTCTCAGGCCCACCAAGGATCCCCTCGTGCCGGGCGATCTCATACGATACGCCCATGAGCAGCGAACCAAGGCCCTTGCGTTGCCAGGGCGGGAAGACAAGGATGCAGGCAAGGTTGTTGTTGTCCCAGGAAAGCTTCTCCTTGGAGAAGAAGCCGCAGATGTGGTGTTTCATGGTCGCGGGGCCGTTGGGACGACCGACGGGGGCGACGGGTTTGGAGTAGACGAGGAGGAAGTAGTTGAAGCCTGTGACGTCGAAGAAGACGGATTTGTTGTCGAGGAATAGCTTAGCAAAGAGGGAGAGATTCTGGCAAAAGAGCTTTGGGGAGAAGTTAGCGAGAGCTTGTATAAAGAAAAAGAAAGAAAAAAAAGGAAGAAGTAAAGTTCAACAACTTACCACGTCCTTTTCACCATCTACCTCCCAGACACTCCACTCTCCCTCATCCTGCACCGTCTGCGGCACAGAAACAGGGCCAGCATCTCCCCGACGCCTCTTAGGCGCCTTGCCATTCGTCTCGACTGGCACAAGCACTGTCCTCGTCATCTTCGGATGCGCGTAAATCTTTCGTCCAGGAATAAAGCCCTTGCTCTCGCACACGCGCACGTGCTCCCACCACGTTACGAGCTCCTTGGAGTACTTGAAGCAGCAGGGACACACGTACAACCGGTCGAGCACGGGAGAAGCGTCTCGGTCACGTCGCGCGTGGCTCTTGCTCGGTCCCGCCGCCGTGGATGCGTCGGGGCGACCGGCAGAGGCCGTCTCGCCGAGGACGTCCTTGCCGTAGTAGGATGGGTACCAGGTGCGGAAGCAAATGTTACCGAGGACGACTTTGTCGATGTTGCGCTCAACGGTGGGTGTTGCGGATTTTCCGAGAGTTTTGGAGGGTTCCTTCGAGGTCGAGGAGGAGGATGTCTGTTTTCGAGTCGCGGATTTGGGGGGTTGGTGTTTCGTCGATTCGGCCGTCGCCGTCGAGGATTTCGTAGTGCGCTGTGCAGCAGAGGGGATGGAAGGAGCCGCATCTTGAGTGGGCTTCACGTTCTCTTTCGTCGCCATGTGCGAGCCATTGGTCGCTTTATTTCCTTTCGCTACTTTGGTGGCCTTCACATTCGTGGCATCAGCGCGGGGGCCGCCGTTCGGCCACTTCAGAGTCGTCTGCACATGCCTAATCGGCACAGACGAGCTCGAAGCCGAAGTGCCAGTCTTTGGCGCCACGGGAGCAGCCACCGTTGTGGCCATCGGTTCCGTCGCCGTCGCCGATGCGGGAGGACGTCCGCGTTTAGGTTTCGACGTGGGATGTTCGGAGGTCAAGATGGATGTCGATTCCGCAGCCGTCGACGTCGCAGCAGGGGCTGTTGTGGACGGTGGGACGGGAGGTGCTGAGTTCGGAGTGTGACGCGTAGATCGACGCGTTACGATGGGGGATGGGGGCTGGGGCGGCGCTGGGCTATCGTCATTGTTCTTTCCGTTTCTTCTTCGCCCTCGTTTGGGTGGAGCCATCAAGTGGCAGGGTATTTCGCGAAAGCTGAAAGGGGATGGAGGGTGGTCAATTGATAGATTTCAAACCCCTGTGCTGTCTGCAAAGTTTCGCCCGGATGGGGCAGGGCGGTGAGGCGTGTCTAGGCGCAATTGGGATGGAGGGGCTTGTGTTCTGTTTGCTGGTGGGTCTGATTTTCGCTGAGATGCAGATGGGGAAACGGGAACAGGAATGTGATGGAGATGCACAGGTCTGAGTTGGTTGTGTGTAGAGAAGCTGGATGGTGGATTTTTTGCAGAATTTTTCAGGATTAAAACCCAGCGGCGACGACCTTGTAACTATTTCGTATCCAACAACATCCCGTCCAGCGGGTTGCTGTTTCCCTCGTGCTGAATCTCCATCAATGGAGACTCAATGATTCATTGTCATTCAGCGAATACAGAGAGGTACAGAGGTACAATTGTACGACGATTACGTCATTCTCGGTGAGGTTTCGGTGTGGACTTCAGTGTGGCTTGCACCTGCATCAATCGATCTTGATCTTCGAAACTGATTGACCGCACCTGCCTCGAGTGCAGATCAGAGCTGAGGTACCGGGTGGCTTTAACCTGAGGCAGCAATTGGAATTCTATATTGATTGATATGTCTCTCGCACAGCCAAGATAGTGCACAAGTCCCCAAGTAGGGCCCGCACGACGCAGTATGAATACTTGCTCATCTGTCTAAGACGAAGGCACACAGAACAGCTCTGGCATCATTCTCAGAGCGTCACTCAAAGTACGCCAACAAGCCCCGGGCCCAAAACGAGACCAATATTGTGTAGACTATGCTTTCGACACCAGGACACGATGACGACGATGTGAGTTGCCAACCGATTTATATGATATTCGTCGGACTGCTCAACTGGGCGAGAATAGAGTGCACATCTAGATTGCACATCTAATTAGGGGCCAGGTGGTGGATGTTCGATGAGGATGGAATCCGCCTTGGCGTCTCAAGTGTCCGGCAGGGGCAGAAGGTCTTCTTGTTAGAGTAGTCAGAACCACTTCGAGAGAAACTCTGGCTATCTGCGGCCTGCCAAACTCGTCGACAAAGGTAAACTCTCAACGTTCAGGTGTTTGGGCCGTGTACGGCGGGTATCTCGAAAGGACGGCCCGCAGAACAGAACCAATATCAGATATGCTCCAGTTATCCTGAACAAGGGCCGCCACCCGAGCAAGAAGTCTATGGATATGGATCCGCCGATGATATAACTCGGTGCGGTGAACTCCTCGCTGTAGAGGACTGCTCCCAGTGTAAGTTTTCTCGTTTGCTGTCATAGCTTCACTCAATTCCTCCAGATTTGCTGCCTCATTTTGCGGGGTCCCCTTCGCTCCCGACCCCAGAGAGAAGGACGGCACAAGAGTGGCGCGGGTGACACCTTACTTCTACTGACGTCGGTCTCGCGGAGGACAAGCGGCCCCATTAAAGATTGGATCGAGGTATTACATAGCGGTACGAGACCCTCTAGGCCTACTCAGCTCTGACGCTTCAGGCGAAAACACTGCGATGCTCATTATGGATGGATATCGGTGCTCGAGTTTTACACGCGTAGAGAGACTGCCGCCGAGAGTTTCGACAACTACCGTCCATTACACTACACCGGAAAGGCGCTGCTCGCCGACATAGGAGAATAGGCAATTCTTGTTTTAAAAAGTCTGTGGTATATAATTCTATTTTTTAAGAAGATCGCTTGCCTGTGCGATAACTCCAATCCTCGAAAAGCAAAAGATGAAAAGAGAAAAAAGAAGAAAAAAAAAAAAAAAACGAACATAATCGGTACCAGCGATCAGCGATAAAACAGCCCGAGAACAATGAAGGTGTAACGATGAGGTCCAACACAACACCGGAGGTTGTGCCACCTACTCCTCCTCATCCTCCTCTTCCTCTTCACTGTCGTCTCCGTCACCTGGTTCCTCTCCTTCGTCTTCCCCATCCTCAATAAATTCCATTAACCCCTTCCTAAACTCCTCGAGATCCCTCTCCTCATACACTGAATCTACAACCCTCACCCCCTGATCCAGAACAACCCACCTCTTCTCCCCCCTCCGGAACCTCTCATAAGACATCCCCTCTCCATACCTCGCCTTAACATTCAACTCCATCCTCCTCCACGCCGCCCTCTCCACATCACTTACATCCCTCCTCAAAGCAGCCCCCGTAACAAACTCCGTAGCACTCGGTCCCTGCGCAGGAACGAACTGCCTAGCCGGCTTATCGCTTTCTCGGCAATCAAGCACCGACGAGGCCCAGAAGAAACAAAGCGTATGATGACGTCGGACAAACTCATAGATTCTCTGCAACGCGCCGTCTGTCAGGCCGCAGTGGCCCAGCGAGAGGTACTCCAACATTGCGGGACCGCGAACATTCGAGTCGAAAGGCACAAGGAGCGAACAGAGGGCCGGCACGGCGTCGTCGTCGATGTAGTTGAAAGCTTGTCCGAGGGAGACAGTGCACGCCCCCTGGCTAAGATCGAGGGCGCGGAGGTTCGGATGGCCGGAGAGGGCGTTGCAGAGGGGCACGACGCCACTGGTGCCGAGGCCGACGGATTGGAGGGCGACGCGTCGGAGGGAAGGGGCGCAGCGGATTCCTGTGGCTAGATTCTTGACGCCGGTGTTGCCTAGCGGGTTGTAGGAGAGGTAGATGGAATGGAGACGGTGAGGGGGTCCGGGTCGAGATTGGAGGGACAGGAACCTGGCGATGGATGCGGCTGCCTTGTCGGATATTCCGTTGCCGCTCAGATACAGGACCTCGAGTGGGAGGGGGCCGACGTCCTGGCGTTCGAGGTGTTGCGTCAACGCGCCGAGGAGAGCTGCAACGCCGGCGTCGCCAAGTTGAGTCTGATCAAGGTCGAGGATCCGCAGCTTTCGAGTCTTGGTGATGAGGCGGACCAAATCCGGTACGGCTTCTGGACCTAACGGGTTTCCCTTGAGCCACACGCTTGTGACGGTCCTAGAAGTGATTAACGAATCGACAAGTGCCTCGAAGCCTGCGGAATCGATATCGTTCCCCGTCAAGTGCCACGTCTCGATGCGATCAGGCACATTCTTCAAGAATCTCGCAATCGCTTCGCACCCGACTTCTCCGATATTATTGTCTCCGAGAAGGATATGCCTGACAAACTCGTTTGCGCGCAGACTCCGCAGAACGTCCAGGACCAGCTCTGGTGCCAGTCCCGTCCCGCAAAGGTCCAGTCTTCCGTCCCCGAGCAAAATCCCCCGTCTGAACTCTGCTCCCTTTGTCCGGTAATAGACTTCACCGTTTCCGCCGTTGAGCTCGACCCCCTCCGATCCAGTCGACAAAGCATACGTGCCCCCTCTCTCAAGATGCTTCATCAAGGCTCGCAGGTCCTCCTCCCGTGCTGTCCTCCTACCAAACGCACTCTTCTTCACCCTAACCCCCTTCAACGAAACCCCCATCTCCTCACCATCCCACTCCCCCTGCTCCGCTATTCTCCCCGCCCAACCCGGAACCCAAAAACACGGCGCCGCGCCCCCATTCGCACCAAACCTCCTCAAACCACCACCAACCAACAAATCAAACTCCCTCTGCACCATAACCCACCCCCTCAACTTCACCCTATCTGCATCATACCGAATCAACGGGGAAAGCGACCCTGCCCTCGAGGGAAACATCAACTCCGCCACCGCAGCCGCCAACAACATCCTCTTCGACTTGCGCCTCGGAAGCACGAGGAGTTCCTCGTCCGCCCGCGCCGAAGGTAAATGGAACGGCATGTTGAGGATCTCAACGGCAGTGTACGGTCGCGAGGGGTTGAAGTTCGGCATCGTGGCTGCGAGGCGGGATAGGGATTTGCGACAGAGGCGGGCGAGCCGGACGGCTTCGGGGGTGTGCGTGTGGGTGGGTTCATCGGGGGCGGAGGTTGAGAGCTCGGAGCGGAGCTGGTTGGGACTGTTGCCTGAGGAGGAGGATGTTGTTGATGGGGGCGAGGATCGGCGTCTTAGAGCGGGATCGGAGCTCCCGCAGACAATGATGGGGGTGCTCGGCATCGGAGTGGAGGACATTGTGTCACGGAAATAAAGAAAAAGGAAACCAGCGACAACAGTTTAGTAGTATCTCCGACGCCGCGTTCGACTGTGCCTTTTCCGACGTGTGGCCCAATGGAGTGGTTTACAGCTAACAGGGAAGAAACTAAAATCTAATGATCAAAAGGAAAAAAAAAAAAAAAGAAAATGAATAAAGCCTTGCTCTTGCTCAAAATGTCGAAGAAGGATGCAAGGAGTTGGATCTCTCATCTCTATTATATACTAAAGACCCTTGAACAATCTAGCCATCCAGGACCGGGCAGCATCAGACTAAACCAGCCCTTCCCGCCATCTAAACCCTCAGTGGTGAGATCTAGGACCCTTCGCATATTCCCCCATTCAGACCTCATCTCGCAATACTATCCCCTCCCAAGCCTCTCGGGGCCTAAGCATTCTTTCCCCTTGCAGGAATATTGGAACGGCTGGCTTGCTTTCTTACCTTATTTTTCTCCCTCCTCGAGTAACGTTTCTCCAAATCACACCTCCCCAACGACTCTTTCCCTAGCCCTATAGGGTTAAAAGTGGGCGCAAGCATCCTCGACAGTCACAAGGGGTGCTTGCCGGGAAGCCGTGCAACACCGGGTGTTCCAGGGCGCTCATTGGCCGCCTCAAGGTCCAGCTGAGCCTCAGCTCTTGCCTCATCCGGGAGTCACGATTCCAATGCGGAGAGACAACATGCCTCCACTCCATAGACTAAGCCGAAGGGGCTATATTGGGGACAAGGGGGGAGGGGAAGGGGATTATGATGTGTGGGATGTGTCAAGATGAGACGATGGGGAATTAGGCGCGGGGAGGGCACTGCCTGCCTAAAAAGCAGGGGAGAAAGACACACGCAGCAGGGGAGATTGAAAGACGGGAAATCTTCAACCTATGGACGATTATTGGACTGACCCTGAGCCTCAGGCAGCTCAGGCAGGACCAAACGATCTATCAGGACC